ATTATCAGTAGTTTTAGTGTGTTGTAAATAAAAAGAAAGATAATTTAAGGGTTTGAGATTTTTATGTTTTTTTTTCCTAGATACTGTTTTTGACCTGTCTTTTGGAAGTATCACTGAATTCCCTCCCACCCTGTGTCTTTGCTGTTTTGTGAAGTGTCCTTTTCAAATGATGTGAACCTCCAAAGGAGCATCTTAACAGATTGCCACCATTTGATCATGGGTACAGAAGATCCTGAAAAGAAATTATCCAGTCTGAGAACAACTCAAGCTCTTTGGCTCAGATATGGGAAGAATTAAAAGGGCCACAGAACTATGAGAGTTAAAAGCACCTGTGTGGTATCCTCTTGAATTTCTACTCTTTCTTTTCTTTTTGATAACAATTGAGCTGCAACCAGTCACGTTTTTCAATCACTTGTAGGTGGCAGACTCTAGCACCATTTCTGCAGCCACTTTTCTCAGACAGTATTGGCATGTTGTCTTTGTGAGGGGAAGGCCCCACACTGAAGAACAGCATTGTATTTATTGGCACCTTCCCCGATGAAAAAGAATGTCTGTAAGAATGCCTCCCTCCAAAGGTCATGTAGAGCAAATCTTATACACACCCTCATTTCCCAAAGGAAGGGTGTTGGGTGTGGGAGGATTGCCACATTTTCCATTTCATGAGCTATAATAAAGTCTATGTATTTGAGGATTTAAATGCATTGTTATATTTTACCTGTCTCTCATGTCAGCAAATCAAATTTTGTCAGTTTTGTTTTCCATGGACAACCAGCGAACTAGGTTAATGCGAAATCGCGTGTACGTTGAAAGCAAAGCCTGACAAACTGAAAGGGAGTAACGATTTTTAATCAGACTGTCAAAAAAGCTGATTTTTACAGCTCAAGCCACTAGCAGTCTTGTTCTAGGCAACGTAAAACGTTTTGTGAGAAACCAGTCCTGCCTCTCTGAAGAACTTAGAGTGTGACTGCGTAAGGATCAAGAACAAGGTCGGTATCATCACATATCATCACTGTCTTAGAGAGTCAGAGTATATTTTGCCCAAAGGCACACAAAATGGATATGGCAAAAGTGGGAGGAGAACCAGAAATCTCGTACTTTGAAAGACTCTTTCTCTTGAGCACATCAATAATCTGAGTAAGCTGCTACTTTTTTTTCATAGTGCAGCTTACCGAACTAAAATGTATTGAAATGTGGACAGAGAAAATTTTGGCTAATAGATAATGTGTTTAATGACCCTAAAGCATTCTTGAAGTGAGTATATATGAAACCATGATGAGTTCCTCCTTCTTTAGCTAATTGCTGGTGGCCTCCAGTTTCATTCTGCAGTCTATATTGATGGTCTAGTGATTGCTGAAGTCATTGTGAATATGCCTGTTGTCATGCTAAATACCGATTTCCTTGCTGTTAGTTTCTGGCATGGTCAAAGTCATTTTAGCAGTCCCACTTTTCATCTTCTGCGTAGGCTGCTTTTACAGTTTCACTACAGATACATAATTTTCTCTGTAGAAGACTCTTGAGATGAAGGATGGATTCACATTTAACATATCAGAGTGGAAGGATGTTAATCTTGCTGCAGTTGCAAGCTTTGTTGTGTGACCTTGAATTCTCCCATTCTCTTCTACAGTGAGATACAGCCCATAATCTCCTGTGCTGACCTCTGTACTTTTAAATTGAGCTAATCTAATGTTTGCAGTTCACTTGAGATCTTCTGCTATGCAAACGTTGAGGATTATTCTACAGTTTGGATCCTTATTCAAAGCATTCAATAAAATAAGCATGTGTAAGAGACACCTACATAAGGGACCCATGCTAATCAGTAAGTCTCTGCAGCAGGCAACTAGAACATCATCTAGTGACTCCTGTACCTGTCTGGACATGTGTTTCCACTGTCCTGCTCATTTTTATAGGCATATTTTGCAAACAGTTTAAGTGACTCTTTTCAGCAGATTTACTCCTAAAAGACTGACACAGATTTCTGATGAAGCCTACAGCAATGAGGCACCCACGTTCCACTATCTTTAGCAGTGCACTAGGTTCCTACAGGAAGCTTAGTTGTAAGAAATACCTGTTCTGGGTGGTTTTGAACTGTTTGCATTCACCTCCTGTGGTGAGGAGACTGCTGTATGCTGAAATCAGTTCTTAGCACAGGAGCGAGTATGCTTTGGATGTTCGCTTTATGAGTGAGCTGACCATTTGATCTATATAATTGATTTTAAATCAGTCATGCCTCCCCTGCTTCTTAGAAATCCCCCTTTTTATGAACTATATGTATACATAGGCAGCAATTTCTTGGTTTTTTTCAATAACATCACCTTCAGCTTTTGTGCCTTGAAAAGGAGATGTTTGTTTTTAAAAGTAACCCCCATCTTGCCTATTAAATGCCATTATCTCAGCATAGATTGTCAGTCACAGGCTGCAGGAATCCTACGGCTGACCCAGTGCCTCACTGGATATACAAATGTTCTGCTAGAAAAGGTAAACATCACTTTTTCATAAATGAGAGTGCACTTGGCACACAAAGCGGCAGCACAAAGTCTGCACTGCTGTCATGGTTTAACCCCAGCCGGCAACACGCAGCCACTTGCTTATTCCCTCCAGGTGGGATGGGGGAGAGAATTGGAAGGGTAAAAGTGAGAAAACTCACTTTTTGGGTTGAGATAAAGACAGTTTAATAGCAGAAGCCACACACACAAGCAAAGCAAAACAAGGAATTCATTCACTCCTTCCCATCGGCAGACAGGTGCTCAGCCATCTCCAGGAAAGCAGGGCTCCATCACGCGTAACAGTTACTTGGAGAGACAAACGCCAGCACTCCAAAAGTCCCCCCTTCCTTCTTCTTCCCCCAGCTTTATATGCTGAGCATGACGCCACATGGTGTGGAATATCCCTTTGGTCAGTTGGGGTCAGCTGTCCCGGCTGTGTCCCCTCCCAACTTCTTGTGCACCCCCAGCACTCGCTGGTGGGGTGGGGTGAGAAGCAGAAAAGGCCTTGACTCTGTGCAAGCACTGCTCAGCAGTAACGAAAACATCCCTGTGTTATCAACACTGTTTCCAGCATAAATCCAAAACATAGCCCCATACTAGCTACTGTGAAGAAAATTAACTCTATCCCAGCCAAAACCAGCACAACTGCTTATGTGCTTGTCCTTTTATCCCCATGTTTATCTAGGAACTGAAAACTTTTCACTGGAAAGGACAGGAGCAGGCATTCTCAGAGATCTGGGGATTCATTGGGGTCTGGGCCTTTTCCTGGATTCTTCTGATAGGTGCGAGAAAGTGGTGTTAGCATGTGCTCTGCACCCATTTTGTGTTTCCCAAAATATGCCACTAGCCGAGTTAAAGGATTACAGAACTAGAGCTGCAAGGGACTTGGAGAGGTCATTGGTCTGGCGTAAGGCAAGTTAAACCATATCTGAACCAATCTTGACAGCTATTTGACTAATCTGGCTTTAAATATTGCCCTGAATGGAGATACTAGAGCTACCTTAGGTATGTCCATCCAGTGCATCATTAGCCTTCCAGCTAAATGGTGGACTTTATCCCTAACTGTAATGTGTCTGTTGTGTTTAAACCCATTATATTGCCAGTGAAAATAGAGAACAGTTTAATACCTGCTTCTTTGCAGAAACAGTGTACTTGGGTACATTTAACATGTCTCAGTCGCAAGATGGTGAGTTGCTGATGTGGGCTGATGCACTATATTTTACCCCTGGGTTGGAGCATGTTGTGGGCTGTTTCTGCCTCTCTGGCCTGGGAAAGCCTCAAACATGAATGGTTTCACTGTACCGTTTGGGGGATCTGAGGACTATTCTTGCATGGGGAAGTATGGGACAGTTGCAAAGCCCTGTGAAAACCATTCTGGCAACAGAAAGTTGGAAAGGTTTATGAAAGGCTTTTGAGGAGAAATTAAGTAGGAGATGCATTTTACTGTGTTCAGGCAGTTTACTGTGTTGAGACAGTTGCCGTCCTTGGGAAAACTAGAGTAAGCTAATATATGACTTCAGCTGGTTACAGTCTGCAGTGGTATGCAGCAGTGCTTGTAGTGTTTGTGCTTATAAGTGTACAAAGTTTATTCTCCCTGTGGTGAGGATTTTTGTCAGACTGCTTGGGATTTTTTTTTTTTCCCTAAAGCAACAATATTCTGCAATGAAAGTCAACACAGGGACTTATATTCAGCTGACGTATAGTGTAAACAGTAAAACTCTTCCATGTAGGCAACACTAGTGTAAGATATACCTTCTGCTGGTGGCAAGTGCTTTATATACCCTGTGCTCATAGGCATTTGAGTGATGTTTAGATCAGTTTAACATGGATGGGGAAATGCCACGGACTGCAGCAGAAGAGCCCTTTCACATGAGCTTTGAGATCAGGTGCTCCCAGCGCATACAGAGCACGTAATTCAGCTGGGCAGGCAGGAGGGCTTGCATCCACGGGAGAGTAGGCACATCACTGTGTGCTGCTCAACAATGTTTTCAGACACTGTTCTCAGTGCCTTCCCCAAAAACGAGAGAGAGGCGGGAACCTCTGTTCCTGCGTCCTTCCTCACCCTTGTTATGCTGCCCCTTCAGTTACTTTCTTGTTGCACAAGGCAGTTGGAATGAGGGCAGAAGAGTGCCGGATTTCTGGGTCATTACTTTGTTTCCATGCTGGGCACTTGCCTTGTGTACTTCGCTCAGCTCCCAAGGGTAGCCTGGTACTGCTTGGCAGAAAGTCAGCGTATGTTTTTATTGTAAGCCTTGCCTGAAAGAAGGCAGACCTGGGACACGGTGAGAGTGGAACTGAAGGGCGTTAGGAGGACTTGGGAGTCACTGGGCAGAAGACATCAAAGCAGGCCTCTCCTGATAAATATTGTGGGACTGGTAAGTAGATAATGGTATGGAACAGGGAAAGCGTCGGGGTTTTCTCATAATAGATAAGCCAAAGGCAGATCCTAGAGTGTTGAATCAAAGTTTGGAGCTCAACCTTTTTCCCATGTTGGTACAGCAACAGAACAAATCCTACCTTCTGAGGAGCGTGGGGTTCCTCCCCATTCTCTAACTGTCTCCATGGTTGAGAGTGGGTCAAGAAGAGAAAGGTCTCGGGTCTTGCATTTGTTTTGGATTTCTGAAGCTAATTCCTGGCAGCCCCACAGGTTTCCTGTGTGATCTGGGGAATATTGCTTTGTCTCTCATTATCCAAGTTCCCTTAATAGTTCCATGTTCACATAGATTGTTTATTTCAGTAGCCTGTTTTAAGGAGTAGGACATAAAATATTAGGGCTTTATGGCCTCTCTGTGCAGGTGCATGTCCCATCTTTAACCTCTTTGTGCTGTGGCAATGCAAATGGTTACAGCAAATGAACCAGCTGGTTCAGCATTGTGGACTCAGGTTTCCTACATCCCCGGGGCAGTGCCTTGCTGCAGGGTGGTTTTTCAGTGCCCCAGAGGCTGTTCAGTGGCATGTCTCCAAAGGGAGCTATTGAGATTGAGGCCAGTGATTTCCAGATAATGTATCTGTGCTTTGAATCAGCTCTTACAAAGCTGAGAATAGAGCTTGACTAAGGTTTTTCTGATAAATTATTTTTTCACCAAAATAATGCATCTTCAGAGAGATCAAAACAGTTCACAATCATAGACTGAATTTGGCAAATAGCTTTAGACCCTCTATCTTGCCAAATTTCAACACTTTCAAAAGTGTTTAAAAGTCTTAAGCATTACGTTTTAAAGAAATTTCTAACAGGATTGTTCTGAAAGTTTTAAAAATATTTAAAGTTTCATAACATTGTTTCAGGATTAATGAAATCTTTGGTATGATCCAAGCATATTTTTAGTTAATCTGTTAGTGTATTTTAGTTTTTGTTGTTGGAAAAATACAAGTGTTTTCATTTCAGATTGACCTACACTACTACTGCTTATTTTTATTATATCATCATCATCCAGGTTTGGAAGTGAGGCAAAAGAACAAATTACACGCACTTCTGCAAAGTTAGGATATTGCCTTAATTTCAAATATCCCTTCCAAATATGGAATAGGTTGGGGTTTTCAGCTTGTGCCTGTCTCTAATGCCTGCTTCCAAAGGAGGGCTAGTTTGCAAGGTGTTTGTATAATTTAAGGCTAAATGGATGCATGCACTGAGGTCAGTGAGTATGGCACAATGAAGCAAGGTCAAGCCCAAGCAACAGAGACAAAGCTTTTGCTGTCTTATGCAGATTGAAGAGTTTCTGCTACCAGCAAGCTGCTAGGAAATACAGCTCCGTGTTTGTGGAGTGGGAAGTTATGCAGCATCTGAACTTTTAGATGGGTAACATCACAAGAATATACCGTTTGGCTTTTGCTTTTGTGATTTACTTTCTGTAAGGCTCAGATGGCCAGTCCTTCTAACAAAGTTAGTTACTCCAAAGGTCCCACTAGTTTCCTCCCCATGAGGAATGAACATGAACCTAATGAAAAACCACAAACCAGCCTCCACCTAACAAAGTGCTAATTTCAGGGAAA